TAATTATATATATATATATATATATATATATATATATATATATTAAAAATTAAGATCTTTTTTTTGAGAGAGGTCTCTTATGCTCACCAAGGCTGCATTTAATAATATAAGAAATACTCTAAAAACACTAATATTGTGAAATACTATTACAATTATTAAACTGTTTTCTGTTTGAACACATTTCAAACTGTAATGTATTCCTGTGATGGCAAAGCTGAATTTTCAGCTGAAGAAACATTGCTTATTATTATCAGTCGAGAAAACAGCTGTGCTGCTTAATATTTTTGTGGAAACAATGATTGTTTTCAGTATTCTTCAATGAATAGAAAATACATTTATTATCAAATATTTATTTTAAATGGATTTTTTTAAGCCTATACTGTGATGTCATCATTTGTAATTAAAAACATTTTTATTAAATTTAAATATCAAAGCATTTTAACTTTGTGGTCTCACAATTTTAGACCCAATTTTATATGGTTCTGCGATACGGTGTGTTTGTGATGTTTTTGTACCCCAGGCAAAGCAGTCTCTGGCCACCCTCACTAAAGATGTGCCAAAGCGTCACTCTCTGGCGATGCCATCGGAGCCGGTGGTGAACGGAAGTCAGGAGTGGGTGATGCAAGCAGACCTTCCCCTCACTGCAGCAATCAGACAGAGTCAACAGACCCTGTACCATTCGCACCCCGCGGACAGGCAAGGTACAGGCCTACACAACCGCATGCTCAGATACACCAAATGTCTTCTTTTTGCCAACTCACACACCCGTCTCCTGCCACCGCAGCTGCTTTGAGGATCAGTCCCTGTCACTCCCGCCAGCCCTCCATCATCTCTGATGCCTCGGCTGCCGACGGCGACCGCTCATCCACCCCGAGCGACATCAACTCGCCCCGCCACAGGACTCACTCCCTCTGCAATGTAAGAGCTGCCTGGCACCCCCGACCAAGTAATCAGCCTTCCCAACTTGTTTTTATCTCCACCTTCACTCTTCTCAAATATTCAGTCCCTGCGCTGCTCATTAGCATGGCTTCAGGGGCCCGTTTTGTCTTGATGGTAGTTAATGCAGATAAACCAAAAGAGAGAATTTGTACCTGTGAGAATTAGCTGTGCTCCACAAGCCTGAACCGAGTACGCTTTGCACATTTGGCATGTTAATTAAGTATTAAATATGTTAATTTATATACTATTATATATACATTTTTCTCTATTTAGCTTTAATTTGGTTTTCATTTTTAGTTTTTGTAATTTTAGTACTTCAACTTAAACTTGTTTCAGTTAGTATCCAGAACAAAAGTTCTGCTTATGTGTTTTAAGTTAAAAATTTCAATCCAATATTTATATATTTTTTTCAGCTTTATTTCAATTAGTGAAGACAATTTTAAATAGCTTTAATTTTTTTTTTTTTTACCTTTAATTTGAGATTTTTTAATAGTTTTTGTACCAAAATGTTTTAATACAACGATCTTACATCATGAGGCACAAGGGGCTTTGCTATACTATAAATATAATCATGGCTAAAGGACAGGTTTTTTGGCACAACTTACAGTGGATTGGTCAGTTGTTGTGACCAATCATTATCAAGGACATACTATACATTTTATAATAGTAAATGTGGGCTCTTCATATGTGTTAGAAGAAAAAAACAAAAGACCTATGCTGGTTTGCAGGTCCTAACTGGTCTTCCAGACTGGTTGTTGTGGTCTGTTGACTGGTTTTAGAGGGATTTTGGGTATACTTTCCTTCAACTGCTCAGGCTGGAAGACCAGCTTAAATCAGCCAGGACCAGCAAACTAACTGGTGGCATCTTATTAACAACCCTGGGCAGCTATAGAAACACCTAAATCTACAAAAGAAAAATCTCATAATCCAGGATGAGAGATTGCGAATAAACCAAATTTGGAGTGTGTGGACCCCTGAAGCTGTGCTGATGAGGCAGTGCAGATATTCCTGCGATTCCTGATGAAACCACATGACTGACCTGCCCCCATATGTCCACCATTACTTTTCTATTCTCTCTTCTCCTTCCTCTCTCGCTGTCTCTGTTTCTGCCTTTTCTTGTTCTTGCTTCAGTCCATGGAGGACCTCGAGGACCAGAAGCGTAAGAAGAAGAAGGAGAAGATGAGTCTCGGCTCACTTTCTCGAGTGTTTGCCCGGGGAAAATCGCAACGCAAGTCCTTGGATCCGGGCCTGTTTGATGGTACTTCCACCCCTGATTACTATATAGAGGAGGATGCTGACTGGTGATAGTGCTATTGTGTGAGCATTTAGACGTGTATGCGGAACGTACACATGGAGTTGTATGAGTTAACGTGTGTGTGTGTGTGTGTGTGTGTGTGTGTGTGTGTGTGTGGGTGTGTGTATGAAAAATACAGGAAAGAGGAAGAACTGCTGCCTCCTTGAAATGTACATAACGACACTTAAAAACATCTATGTAAATGAAATATATATTTATATATGTATGCATATGTACATATGTTTACATTCATATAAATATATACATGGGATCATTTGCGTGTGAATATGTTTATGCTGTTATTATGCTTTATTTGTGGTAATGTATGTCTCTTTTTTTTATAAACTGGAAACTTGAATTACTGCTGAGCATTTGTAAATAGCAACTCTTGTGCACCTTGTGTTTGCTGATGTCTTCATGTGGAATGCTTCTTTTTCATGACTGCTACTACCATGAACCCAGAGCTCCAGTATTCATACGCCATAGCATGAGGTCCATCTGAAAGATTTAAAGGTGCACTCGGTCATTTTTGCCCTAATCAAAACATGTGAAACTAAGAGATGAGACAAAAATGTTAACATGACATGATCACATGAGATGTGAGCCTTATAACAGCTATTTAACTGTACATGGAGCAGGTCACCACAAGGGGACCGGCTAATATCGCTCATTTTATTTAGGCAGTCTACTATACCTATTATCACTAAACTTCACACTATTCTGGCTGAAAATTACATTTCTACATAACAGCCTGTAAACAATGTGTGATGCTGTATCCACACCACTAGAGGGCCGCCAATGCAACATTACCAAAAAAATTACTGAGTGCACTTTTAATATTTAACGTTACGATCTACTCGGCCACATCCAGATACGATGGTTTTCTAAATGTTTGCCTTAGCTGTTCACCTCAGTAATCTAATCACGAGGCATATCTGCATAAATGTGGGGTCACATTGGCGAAATTCGGCGAGATTTAGCGCGGGCAAAAAGAGTTCCGATGGCCATCATATATAGTGTAGCGGTGTATGAAGTCACTGTCAAGCCAAGCGGCTCTTTTGGTCAACGTGTTAAATTTGCGTGACCAATTTTTACCCTCACGCAAAAACCCTGACACAGATTCCTATTAAAATGACTGGATCTCCCCCGCAAAATCGCGTCAAGCAATGGTAAATGTGACCCCATCTTAGTAACAGGTGAATTTTGTGCGTTTACCTCAGAGTTACATTCAGACAGATGCCAAACCAGGATAATGATCATTTGAAAGCAAATATTTTATTATGTATTATGTCTTCTTGCAAGGCTGCACCTAGGATGTTTTTAATCTTGACAAATGTGAATTGAAAACCTCCCTAAATCTATACTTTATTTTCTGGAATGAAATCATATTTTAGGCAGTTTTGGTTCAATTATGATGACAGAGTAATTCAGTTATAAATGGACTGAAGTTACAGTATGTCTCAGACAGGCCTTGTCGGAGTTATTTTTGCGTGGTCCAACGTGACTGCCCCTTTTTGCTAAAAAGACACGTAGCATTATGTATTAGACTTGTTTCCATTTTAAAAACGACATATTTTATAACCTGTAAGGAATTATGCTAGATTTTAAAGTGATAGCCTACCTGGGAAGTTTGTTTCCACATAATGTAGATTATTTACACACAAATCTGGATTATACTTAAACCAGGTGCTGACCTTACATTAGTAAAGTGCCAAAGGGTTATAGTGCAGCTTGCAGTAGGCTACATAAGAAAATACATAGGAATATTTTTTTCCTGCTTTCTCAAGTGTGCAAATAGAATGTCTGTAAGAACTCATAACACATCCTGCTTCCATAACATTATTTTCCATTCATGTTAAACCCAATGATGTCATGACTCTTGTCTCGCTGACATATCACATATTTTTTACCGTTTCAAGCTTTCCTTTGCATCTTGGTGGCACTGATTTTTTTTTTTGGGACTTTTTTATTTTCATCTCTTAAATTAAACTGAACTTCATTTCTCCATGTCATTTTAATGAGTTTATGTTGTAAGGTTTGTAAAGTAGATTATGTCAGATATAAGATTAAGTCTATTAAAGAACTTTATTTAAAGATTAGAAAAGAGGTCATTTCAATGAAACCAGACTATCTTTGAATTTACAGACTTGATGAGGATGTTTTAACATTCTGAAGATTTAAAGAGAAAAAAAAACAATTAAAATAAAACTTATTTTAAAATAAAAACACATAACCCAACATTCATGTGCCTTTCTTCTTGACCCTGTGTGTATGTTTGTGTGCGAGTTGTCATGCAATGGTTTCCTCTTAACCCTCTTGTTCAGGGGTTGCCGTGGTTTGGGGTGACCCCGCTCTACTCTTCATTTGTAATTACCCACCATTTGTGTTAACACGTGTCCTAACATTGTCTGACCTCAGTGGATGAGAATGCCCCAAACTCACTACATTCATAACTCATATGAATATGTCAACTGGAACAAGTCTATCATGTACACCCTTATCCAAAACATGAGCACGGTCATGTGCACCTCTACCCGAAACATCATCTCATGACCAACTGATGTTGATTTCATTTAGTATAAAGGTCTATTTAAAAATGCTACACATTTATTGAGTGGTATATAGTTATATATCATAAAAAGTACATTATGTAGGCCTTCTTGATGAGGGTTTTCTATTTACATCCTCGTGAAGGACACTGGAGAGCTTTGCTACAGTAAATTCAGAGCGATTGGGTTTTTCCTTCTCATATAATGTGTAAAATAATTAAAATCCATTTTTCCATAAAGCCAGCGGATGCTCTCAGATGTCTCGAACAAGGTCATGGCTCTGTCTTTGCTTAGACGAGTACCTATTTCCTCTAAAGGTTTGAAACAGGTGTCCTCTGCCCCGATGCCCATCAGATAATGAGTTTTATAGAGGTAATTTTTTCAGCTAATTAAAATCTGATGAAGCCTAAAGAGAAGGATGATTCAGTCTGAACCCTCAGGGTGACTTCAGTCTTGTTTTATACCTGCCAGGACACACTTTTAGCGTTAGGAGGGATATATTAGACACCAAATAGTCTAAATAATTAGCTATACATCTAATTCATACAGATTCGACTGAAAGTCAAGTACCTTAAGAATGGCATCACTGCAACAGCATTAGCTCGGAGTTTATAGGGCGTCACCTGCTGGTGTAAACATGAAACTTCAGGAGTGGATTATGCAAATTTCATAAAATCCGGTGATTTTGGTGTGGTGGCTTAATGGAATGTGTAAAATATAATAAATTACAATATATTATAGGGAACGTCTATAATAAAATGTATGTGTATGATTTTAAGCTTAACCAAATAGTTTACTAGTAAATAGTTTGCTAGTAAATTTCACTAATAATAACAAAGACATTACAGTATTGTAAAACATACTCCAATCATTTTTACTTAAAACCTGTTTTTACAGTGTAGTCAATGCACTATGTATCACAAAAAGGACTGTAATAGAAAACAATGCTGTAAAATGGTCTAGTTAGTAGATTATCATAAAAAGTAAGCAAATTCAGTGTTCGCGTCACACAGTAAGGGGGAGAAGGTCAAGTGGTTTTGTAGTGAAAGTCTGAGGTAGTAAATGTAGAGGTGGTTTTGCTTCAGAGGGTGTCTGGGTTATATGAGGATAGATAAGGCCTGTCGATGTTGACCGCAGGCCTTATCACATCCGCTGGTTCTTGCTTGAAAGCAATGATTCATTTAAGAAGCATTTTAAGAGCAGAAAATACTGAAATAAAACAGGAGGATATGGAGGTGGGTGCTTTTCCTGACAGCAATAAACAAGCTTTCATGTGCGGCGAGGAGCAGCTGGAGGGGCTACAGCAGGCGGAGCTTACGCGCAGCAAACCCATGTCTCTGTGGAAGGCAGTCACTGTGCAGGCCTGGCTGGAGGTTGTCATGGCAATGCCCATGTACACGCGTGCCTGTTCAGAGAATGTCAAGAGTGGAAAGGTAAATGCTGTTTTGTTTTGTTTTTTGCCTATTCTTACCTTGTTTATTGTGCCTTTTATTTCAGCCCTTTTTTAAAGCAAGGTACTACATGCAAAACATGCTCAATTTTGAGATTGGACAGAAGACATAAAATACATATTTAAGAGTTTATTTTATTATACTTTTTCTATTTGGGTCTGTAAATTTCCATTTCAACTTTTTTTTTTTCTGCCTGTTAACATTATTTTCTGCTTTTTGGAGTGTTAAAATCAGATATCCAAGATCCCTTCTATAAAAACCATTAACTGTAATATGTCAACAAAATGAAACAATTTTTAACCTGGCTTTATCCAGTGTTCAGATTCCTGTTCTGGAAATGTATGCAAATCAGTGCTAATTTAATTAGATAATGCCTTGTTTGCATATTTAAACAACATTTCAGAAAACTGTGATTAATCTGTAGTGATTCACCTGTATTGCCTAAGCACAACTAACGAGCCATTTATAAACTTCTCCTTGATTAAGTGACATTCTAAGATAACATTTTCAGTTCTGTGGCTGCTAATTAGCACTTTATCTTAACGTCCAACAAATATTTACTCCCCTGATGCTTCCAACGAGCCCTGACGTTAACCTAGTTACTGATTACTCAGTTTAACCGGAATACCTTGCGACATTTACTCGTCTGTAGGAGATGATGTCACAGCGAGCTGCTTCTTGTTGCAGGTGTTGCTGGGGTTGACAGATGAGGATCTGGAGCTGGGTTTGGGCATCAACAGCCCAATGCACCGCAGGAAGCTCCGTCTAGCTATTGAGGACTACAGAGAAGCAGAGAATGGACGGGGGTGAGCGGCCACACCTACGCACAAGCACACAGGTGGCACACATTAGACTGCACTGGCACTGATTTTGTGTTACATTTGTGTCCCTCAGACTTTCCAAAGCTGCTGATATGGATCATCACTGGGTGTCTAAGACCTGGCTGGGCGATGTGGGGCTTCCCCAATACTCACAGGTCTTCCACAACCAGTTGGTGGATGGCAGAGTACTGAACTCTATCACACGGAGAGATCTGGAGACCATCTTTAACGTCACCAATAAGTTCCATGTTACCAGCATTCTGTCAGCCATTCAGCTTCTGCAAATGCTCAACTTTGACAAAGAGGCAATAATTTTTGTATATACTGTCGCATTCACTCTGAAAATATCAAATGTTTTTGGTGATATTGTGAAATATCATATCTTCTCTGCAGACTATACAGGCACGTCGTGCTCAGTGTGAAAATCGAGATCTGGATCCGGTGGTCTGGACCAGCCACCGTGTCATTAAATGGATCAGAGACATTGATCTTAAGGTAATACAAAGTTCATACAATGGTAGTGTTACCATTCAAAAGTTTGGGGTCTGTAAGATTTTAAATGTTTTTGTGAAGGTCTCTAATGCAAACAAAGGTAGCATTTATTTGATCAAAAATATTCAAAATAAATATTATTACAATTCAAAATGTAAGTTATTCCTGAGATGGCAAAGCTGTATTTTCAACAGCCATTACGACAACCCCAAACTTGTGTCTGGGGAATATCAGAGTTCCAAATACATATTTGGATACTTAAAACATTTTTAACAATGTAAAACTGTATAAATATATATGATAAAAATGTCCAACCTGTTGAAATAATTGTCTTTAATGCAGGAGTATGCTGACAGCCTTCAGAACAGTGGCATCCACGGTGCAGTGATGGTTCTAGATCCGACCTTCAGTGCAGACACCATGGCCAAGGCTCTAGACATCCCCAGCAATAAACACATGATCCATCGTCATCTATACGAGGAAATTAAAGTGCTTCTCAACCCCGCAAGGTGTGTGAAGCTTCATTTCAGTATTGTCATAAGGACTATTTTATAGTCTAGCAGTAGGATATATAACAATCTAAATTGCAAGTGATTTCAAAAAGCAATATATACGCGGTACTTCGGAATACTCGATTCTGATTGGTCAATCGTACCATCCAGCGATCGCAGCACAGCAACAGCAACACAGCGCTACTTTCACATCACTGGTGAACATCTTTGCTACAGTTGTAATATTTTTTAAGCGCTTTTGGGGCACAATGTATGCGCTGTTAGTCACAAAGAATATTGGCTTTTGAACATCACATTTGTAAGTTTGGTCTTTTTATGTAAAACAAAGATGTTGAATTTTTATGTAAAAATAAAATATAATCAAATATAAAATTATTGGTAGGTTTTATTTATGCAAATGTAGATTTGTTAAAGTATGATTTGAGTATGAAATGAGTTTTTTTTTTTTCAATAAAAAAGAATGCCTTAGACTCTCTAAATAACTTCAAATATATATTTATTAATAGCCTTCTGTAATTTAATTTGTTATCATTTGCTTTTATTTAATATACATCATTACAATTCAACTCAGATCAGTATTTCATATGCTTGTATTTATTTAGTGAGTTATGATCACTTTGCTGAACAATAGCTGCATTGATTTAACAAGTGTGACTGAGTAGGCCTATTTCTGTACAGAACTAACCAGGCTCAGGACTACAGGAAAGAGGGGACTCCTACACATTCTCCTGTCTCAAACTGCCGCAAAACTGAGGAAGAATTTTCTCCCAGGCAAAAAGTCGGCAAGGTATGGGCTGTCTTGTTATTGACACAAAACAAAATCAAGACAAATGGTGGACTTTGTCTGTGCGCCTACCTGTTATTGTTAATGATCTGTAAAAGGATAAATAACCTTTCTGTCGTTTCTCAGAGCCCTTTGAGATTCAATCCACTGGTCACTGTTGGGAGAGACTTGACATTTCAAGGCGGCTGTGGATCACCACCCAGAGAAGATCGCATCAAGATCCTGCAGAGGACCAAGGGCAGTCCCATGCACGGTTACTCGAGCATAGAGATCACTAATGTCTGAGGGCAACAGTCTGTGTTTGCCTTGGATGAACTAGGAAGGATGAGCCTCCCCGAACCTCTAAATGGACCAAATAAGCTCAATTATTTGTAAAAGAGATTTGAGAATTGACCATTTGCACTTTAAAGAAGTTTGTATTGGCAACAAATCACAAATAAGCACTTAATTAAAATTTTATAGACATGCTGCATTAAAAAGCAAATATTTTGTTACTAACATAATACATAGATGAACTTGTCCTGATTCCCGTAAATTCCAGTCACAACTGTAGGTATGCAGCTAAAATCAATACCATATGTTCAGATGTCCATTCCCTACATCAAGGTCATCACAACACTGTGCTTGTTTAAAGTTACGGGAAATGCTGGAATGAGGAATAGCGCTGTGAATTTATTGTGAAAACACTTTGAATGCCACAGTAAAGTCTTTTCTTTGTTTTAATACATCTGTTGACATCTGCTAAGATGTTTGTGTTTTCAAAGTCTGATTTGCATATAAAATTAAAAGCAACCACCACTTTAGTAGCAATGTAGTGTGGGTAATAGATTAGTCTCATAAGGATCACTCCAGTTTAATTGAAATGAGTTTTCCCGCATTATATATATAGATATAATTTTAGGGGAATGAAAGAAAAACCTTTTTTTTTCGCTTTTATTTCCTGTTTGTGATTTTTAACATCTCTGTCTTACCATGCATGCAGTTCAATTTGTTCAATGGAATATTTTGTTCAATGGAATATATTTGTATATAAATGCGTTGTATAGTGACTATCAATCAAAATAAGGAAATGAAAGTGTGATCTGGTTGGAAAGCCTTTAATCTTCTTTTTACGGAGTCAGAGAATTATTTTGTGTCATAAGCAGTGTTCCTAAGAGTGTATGGAAAGGTAAAATGCAGTATAATCTACAAGCCAATGCAGCACATGCACTGCACATTCTACAGCTGTGTTATCCCACTTGGAGCCACGGGGCAAGGAGAGCAAAACAAGTTTAGCAGCTCAGCATGCAACAGCACTGGCTTTTTATGCAAACAGCCTTTGTCATTGGGTCCACACAGATTAGATAACACGAATCGATTAATGACTTGTTTCATAAATTCAACCAATCATTATTTTCAGATCTTGTTCGAGATCTGGTTAGGAATGACAACTGAATCACAGATTTCCTGCTGGGTTTGACTCAGATTGTCTATTGATAGACAGTTTGACGTCAGTTGCACAGCATACCAGCGCTAGGAGATGCACAGCTCAAGAATATAGCAGTTATGGTGCATTTTTAAGGTGGGTTTTGCAATCGCTAATCATTTTATATCACTGTATCTTGTGGCATTAGTGAAACTGTACTTTTGAGAAACATTTGTATATAGATTCATACCATGTGTCATTGACACAATAATCTGTATAGAAAAATAAAGCTCTACATACAACACTCAAATGAGTGTTGCTGTGTGTTTGTTTATCAGATTGGTTTTATATATTATACACGGCTGTTCATAAGTTTGGGGTCAGTAAGATTTTTAGAAATTAATACATTTAATGAATTAGCCTATAAGAAATTTTTTTTTTTTTACAAGGATGCATTGACTTGATCAGGCATGACAGACAAAAACATCTGTATTACAGAAGATTTCAATCTAGTCATCAAAGAATCCTAAAAAAGTATCAAAGTTTCCACAAAAAAAATTAAGCAGCACAACACTGAAACAACATGTTTCCATTGATAAAATCATATGTGACGCTGAAAACTGGAGTAATGGCTGCTGAAAATTCAGCTTTGCCATCACATGAATAAATGACATTAAATTAGAAAGCAGTTATCTCAAATCGTAAGAATGCTGTGTTTCACAATATTACTGTTTAAATTTTATTTTTATCAAATAAGTGAGCCTCAGAGACTTCTTTCAAAAACATTAAATTATCTCACCAACCACAAACTTTCAAATGGTATTATTTACACAGCTAAAACGTTGTTTCAAGTTTCAATTCGGGTTTGAATAGATCTTGTATTCTGAGAGGAATCTCTTGAAAAAGAAAACATTTTAGATCGTTTCAAATGACTGTGTGAAATGTTTTAGAACAAAATTTGGAAGTATTTAGGAATTTTACCTGCAGACCTTAATTTACTGATAAATCGAAACTGCTATTGTTGAATACTTTTAGGTATTTCCCAAGGAAACCCGTACTTTTCCGGGTTGTAGGACCATGAACAGCTGTTATAGTTCTCTACCAAACATAACTCGCTTTAGGACCAAGCGTCGTACTTAACTCTTACAACTGAGGGATAGCGCTCGACTTGGTTTTGAACAAAGTTCCTGTCTCTGCTTAAGCCCATACATTGTCGAAACAGACTGAGTGGGACTGGAGTTAGAGTATCCATACCGTTTTTCCTTCCTTAAACGAATGAAAGGATCCTGAGGACGCTCGTTTCACCTGCGGCTGGGAGCGACACCTGCCTCAGGTACTTTCATGACACAAGGTGCGAAGGGCGTTGAACCGCCGCGGAACTTAGCTTAGGCCGTACACTTTATATTAACCTTGTTTTTTTGTCACATGTTTGTCGTTATTCGGCATTGTTGAGATGTTTGCCTTCGCTCACAGAACACCGGAGAGACTTTAGGATGATGTCACTGTTACAAAGTTTCTTTTACCAGCCTATTGTTTCAAATAGTTAAAAAATATAGCCTAGTGAATGACAGCCAGAACTTTCCTCGTGATAGTTTCGTGCAGAGGCGGACAAAGTACTCAACTCCATTACTTGAGTGAAAGTACAGATAGCCTACTGCTGGTCAAATATTACTCCATTACAAGTAACAGTTGTAAAGACAGATTTTTTACTTAAGTAAAAGTACAAAAGTTTTATTGTTGTACTTACTAGTACTTGCAATACTTCTGAAGCAACTTAGAATACATTACACCTGCTGAATGCGCTTACTAGCTTGTAGTATATTTGGAATAAAGAGCTTTTAGAATGTTAAAAATCTATGGGGAAAAAAACAAAACAAAACAAATTTAACACCCCTACCCACCCCCACAAAAGCAGGATGGTAGTGATCTCACAAAGCTCTTACATCTCCATGTAGCCATTCATCCACATTTGAACAGAGTGGACAGTGAAATCTTGTAAATACAGAGTGATAAGGAAGAAAAAAAAAATCAAACCTGCTTTAAAACCCAGCAACACAACTGTAGATGTATAACTTTACAACAGCAACACTGCTTTAACAAAAAAGCAAAACAGCAAGACTTATTTGACATCAAAACAAACATTTTAAATGCTGTATAATCGCTCTCGCAGTACTTTGATGTCACACAGAGAACAGTCTGTGGAGTGCTGCTTCAAGTCCAACACCTATTGTGTTTTATTAGGAGATGCACAACAGTTCTTCTGTGGCTTTATAGGTAATATTTTCACCTACACAATTTAGCAAAATCAGACAATATTGTGTCTAATATATACCACAATATTAACTTCTTATTATTGAATTGTTGTAAATAAATATCACATTTGCAACTGGTCAGTGTTCAAAAAATGCTGGGAAATCTCTTCATGTAGCCCTACAAGAGTGATTACTGATAAACTGTCTGAAAAAAAGAAAGTCATGTTTTAGAGAAGAAAAAAATCACCCACTGACTTTCAAAGCTGCTACATAGTAACGACTTTCTACTTCGAGGACATTGATAGAAATGTAGTGAAAAGTACAGTATTTGTCTTTCAAATGTAGTGAAGTTAAAGTCATAAGTTCCCAGAAAAAATAATACTCAAGTAAAGTACCGATACTCAAAAAGTGTACTTAAGTACAATACTCAAGTAAATGTACTTAGTTACTGTCCACCTCTTGTTTCGTGTCTGTAAGATGACATTCATACATCAATCATTTATATTTTATGGCATTTTAGTGCACATTTGTTTGTAAAATTGTCCCTCAATATTCACTTCTGATGTCATAGTTTTTTGTTTTTTTTTGAGTGTAACTAATAGAATGTTGTCGCGAGTTGGCCTAATTCTAATTGTTCAGTCATTTTTAATCTTTAAAACCAAATCTTTAAGCAAAATTATGAAGGTCATTCATTTTCCCAGGATGTTTTGTGCTGTAAACAATGACGCTGAAAAACTGTAGAAATAGCCTACGATCTGCTAGGGTTGCCCTTATAAAGCTTTACCATGGTAACCGGCGAATTTCCAAGGTTACTACTTATTGTTAAAGCTGAATCATCATAAATTATTATGCTATCTTGTCCAAACAGTGTAAGAAGCTTGTGGAATTACTGTTTTTTTTTTTTTCTTCTTTTTTTGGCTTCCACAGTAACAATAGTAGTATGGTTCTTTGGTGGTAACTACAGGTACGATGGTTAACGTCTGCTTGTATCGGTATTAAAGCTGTAATTTTATTTAAGTGTATGTATGTATGTATTTGTATATATTCATCTTATTTTACATGGAAACAAGACAATCAAATATAATTCTAACATACAAATGAAAATGGAACACAATACACAACATATGTACATAATTTTAAATAATTAAACAGCACCATAGCTCATTAATGTCAAAAATAAATAAATAAAAAATAGGCTAGTCATCATCACTCTCATGCTAAAAGATTGATTTCTAACTTCATGTGTCACTTTCTCCATCGGTTTCCAGAAGTGTTTTTGAGTGTTTGAGGTTTTTGGTTTGTCACTTCCATTTTTATTATTATTATTATTTATTATAGCGATTGGAGTATGAGTATATATCTGTGTGAGTGGCCTTGTTTTACCCACAGTTAACCCAATTGTATTGTAACGGTTCATTTTAATGTGTTATTGTGTGACGATTCTGCTTTGTATTCTGTAAGAATAAGTTCAGATAAGGTCATGGGGTGCATGTTTAGATGAGGCATTTAGTGACCTGTGGTTCTGTGTCTGTTTACTTCAGGACACGGAGCAAGTGTTGCTCTTGTGTATTTGGACAGGCCTTCCTGGCCTTTTGTCATATTTCCCTATTTTATGTTTTTTTTTTGTTTTGACCAGAATGTAATAGATCTTTGCTCTCATGGACTCCTTTGTAGACATGTCACGTACCCAAATCTGCATGTCATTAATATATTGCATTCATTTAACATGAGAATTGTGCAAAAAAAAAAAAAAAGTCATTTTCTCACAGCATCTCTTTCCTCAGGACGAATTGTATTGATTTTAAAAAATCCCTTTGAACAAGACTCCTCCTGCCAGTCTTGAGAAAACAATCAGGCTTTTACAATTAGTGTGCACAATTTGCAGTGCTTGTCATGTCTTGTTCTGTGAAAAACCTGTTTTGTTAGTGCCCCTAAACATGTAAGACTTTCTCAAACTAAACACACTTTCTTTCTACACAGACAATTGCTCTTTCTTTCTCTTTTCCCTATCTCTCCATTCCTCATTCCTCTCAAAATATGAATAACAGGATTCATTATTTCTTTTTTACTTCAAGCCGCTTGTTGTAAATCGAAATGTGAACATTATAAAACACATTTGACCATTCACTCTCCCCCCTCAAATAAATGACACCCACAGGCGGATGAGTCATCCTGAAAGGTCCCACAAAGCCTGCCATCGTGATTTCTTTTTTTTAGTGCTCTACCTGAACACATAAAGTAAAACGTTCGTAAAAACCACTCAAAACATCACCTTACGATAAACGTGCATATCCACAGTCGCCTAACATTGCACATTCACAAAAACATTTACAGACGTATTTTCATGTTGTAACAGCCAAATATTTTAAGAGAATGTCTTGTATAAATATACTTAAAATTGTAAGCATTTTGCAAGGATAAAACAGGAAATTTGGTTTTGCTAATAGATGAGGCTGTTTGCCCTGTTTAATGTGAATTTAAAGTAGCTTTTACCAAAAATGACACCCCTTCCCCATTTCCATTCTGAGCACAGTGAAGTGCCCACATTCACAAGTGAACAATGCTGTGTTGTTATGGAAACAGTTAGTGTACGGCAGCAGCCTAACCTCTGTGCACTGGACCTTTTTAAGGTTTTTTTTTTTAAGTGCATGTAACCAGTGTCTTCCTGATGGGTCCTAACCTTTACTATCAAGGACATTCGTTGGAAGATTTTGTTGATGTTATGGAGTGAGTATGAATGTGGGAAAGATTATAGAAGTGTTTGTAATTATTATCTTTAATGCACAAACGGTACTGAATTTTTATTAGGAGTTTTACCAAGTTGTATAATGTCCTTACATGGTAATCCTTTCCATGACATGCTAAATGCTTCTATTTGACCTCTATAGTGGCATTGTGCCAAAAGGATTGTTTTTTTTGCTGTAGAGTCTGTCTTCAATGAGCTGAAACACAGAAACTCTTTTCTTCTGTTACTTGGGCCCCATTCCCAGTCATTTCCAGGAAGTATTTCCTCCTCATTGAGATGTTTTTAACGTTTGTCTCTTTTTTTGCTTTTATGTTACAGTGCTACTCTCATCCTCCACATTTGGACCACCCTTCCGTGGTAAGTGTGTGTTTGTGAGTAGTGAAGAGGAGCATTTACAGCTATGTGCTACAGTGGGCAGCCTCTGTGTTCAGGAAACAGGCGTTCACCCACCAATAGAGAGGCCAGTCCAGGCTCCCAGTATGCTCTCTGTGCACTGGGGGTGGGCCTGGTGGCACTCGGTGTTGTCATGATCGTGTGGAGCATAGTTCCTTCTGAAACACAGTTGAACAATGCTACAACCACGAACGATGGAAGTGACAGCAGTGATGGAGGGAAGACATCATCTGTTGCGTTTGTGCTGGTTGGATCTGGTGTTGCCATGTTGCTCCTTGCTATATGTCTCGGTGTGAGGAACAGGAAGCGAAGGAGACAACAGGAAACTACAGGTGTAGGCGGTGCTGATTATGTGGATCGTGTCCATAGAGATCAGGATGAGGAGTGAGTGCTGCTCTATACTCATTAACTTTCTTTGTTAACTTTCATTTAAAATAAATGCTTTTGCTTTTTTAGCTTTCTATGCATCAAAGAATCATGAAAAATGTATCCGGTTTCATAGAAATTAAGCAGCAGAGCACAACAGTTTTTAACATTGATAATAAGAAGAAATGTTATGATGTTATAATGGCTGCTGAAAATTCACCTTTGCCATCACAGGAACAGATACGTTTTTAAAAGATATTAAAATATGAAACCTGTGAGGTGGATGGATTATCTCTGCAAAGGAGAAGTGCTCACCAACACAGATTTAGACAGATTTGTGAACAATATTTGAGAGAAATAGGCCTTTTGTGTCGGCTTTCACTGTGGACGAAGCGGAGTCCAGCCCGGGGTCGGCACATATGTTTGCCGCAAGCCCGCCCGCCGCGGCTCACTCTATGCCTCCGGCCTCCACTCACTCTAGCCCGCCGTGTGTGACGCTGTATTTCGTTGTGAAAGCGAAACTACTTTGTTTGATTAGGTCAACTGATGAACCAGCGCCCAACTATGATGTTCCCACCTATGAGGAGGCGGTCACCAGCGGAAAGTACCCTGTTCGGCAGAGCAACTTGCGACAGAGTTACCAGCTGCCCTCGTATGAGGATCTGATTGGTGCTGTTGAAAACGAAGGCCAGCAGCCTAGAGAAGGTAATGGCCAAGAGGCCCCTCAGCCAGCTCCTGGCTCCGAACCTCAGCCTGCAGCACCCGTCCGCAGCAGCAGCAGGGCCAGTCGCATCCTCAGACCTTTCAGAGTGCGCAGGATTAAGTCAGAGAAGCTCCACATGAAGGATATTCGTTTGAATATCCAAAATCCTGGACAGAGTGTGGTGGTGACCATCGAACCACTGACCCCACCACCACAGTATGAGGACAAGCCCCCGCAACTACCCACAGAAGCAGTGTAATGATTTCGATCACTGGATTTTGTTGAGTGTTTGCATCTGTGGGTTGTTTGAAAAATGTTGACTCATCTGTGCAAAAGCGGAAAGTTTTAGTAAGAGCTATAAATGTGTCTCAAAATCTGCCAAATTATGAAATGGGATACGTTTATGTGTGCTGTCAGTTCTTGGACAAAACACTAAAGCCTACTTGAATGTTTTTTAACAAACTTTTTTATATTTGAAGAATGGATTACAGTAGTGTATCGTATTTTTTATTTAAAACTGTTTGAGTAAGGAATATAAATGCCACAGCGCGTCTCTTGAGAGCGTCTGAGAGATTTACTTCACAGTTTACTTCCAAAGAACTACATTGTACATTGCAAAAAAGAAAAAGAAAACAAATTCTTATTAAAGAATAACTTACAGATGAAGAATCCATCAAACTTGTGTTGCCAAATGCTAATTACCGTTTTTAAAAATAACTTTTTCATAAAAAACATTTTCAAAAACTTAATTATTCTAAATCTGAATGTCCAGTTTTTCAGCTCCATTTTTTTTTATTCTGAATATATAATAAATTTGAACCAGATAGTGTGCTGTTGCAGCCATAAAATGCAGGAATGCAAATTATTTAAAGACTTAATTCTCACTAATTTACTTAACTAATTTATTCAGTGCCACTCCAATTAATCCAATTAATAATGTAATTAATATTTCAGTGTGTTTTGATTAACAATGTGTCACTGTTCTGTTTGCAATTAACTAACTTTGTTTTTGTTTTTTAATGTATTGCTCATTGCATTTTAAGGGTGCAAAATTAAAAAGTATTGAAATAGAATGAAATTAAAAGTATTCTTAAAACTCATAGGAAAATTTAGTGTAATATGTTAGAACAAATTCTGCATTCATATAAAATTCTAATAAGTGATATACAAACAAGGGTCTGGATAGCAAACAAAATGCACCTTGGGGGACTTTGGTTTCTTGGGCAACTCAACACTTAATTTCTGAAGTGCAAATGAGAATTTTATAGATGGGCTAACTTTCACATGCAGTTTGACTGGACAAACAAGCCATCATGCTGCAGATTGACCATTTTCAATGACAAAAATGTTGTTAACATTCTTGTTAACCAAACTGAACATGGTCCTGTTGATGTCATTTTGTATGTGAGCTAAATAGCCTTCAGTTTAATTGCCTTTTAATTCAGTTTATTTTATTAAGGTGTAAAATCTTGGAGAAGGGATGGATTTGTTGTAGATTTGCTTTTGACAAAAGGAATTGATACAGGTGATACAGGTAATAGTTTAAAGCAGAAAAGCTCTGTACGGTATTTATTTCTTGCGGGACATAATAAAATTGTTTAATTCTGTGTTTTTGTTCATCTTTATGGTTTCCCAAGTTGAAAAATAATGTCTGCTGATTTGTAGTGCCACCTAGTGGCTCAGAATCGTACAAACAACATTTTGAGTTACAGTCAGCGATGACAAATTTGATCGCACTTCTCCAGCCTAACATTTAACAGCTGTTGTTTGACGTACTGTACTGAATAATCATTTAGGTCTTTCAATATCATGTTTCTCAACTGCCTTTGTGACTAGTCTAGCAGAGTGGATGTGGTAGTTTACGAAGTACGACATGAAGGTGAGTCAATGATGAAAGTCATAGTGTAGTGTATCTTTAAAACAACAGAACACAATTAGGCCTATTTATCTTTTCCCAGTTGAAAATGTAGCCTATTTTCCCAGCCTACTCTCACCTATGTTTTCTCTGTCATTTCAGACGTCAGCTTGTGTGTGTGTGGAGTGAAACCTAGGGGTCTGTAGGCTATAGTGACTGGTATTTGAAGCCAAATGAAACTGCATTCATGAACTGCCCCCAAGAGCCTAACACAGTCAATGAGTTATTACATGAACCAGGATTTCATAAAACGTTTATTGAACTAAGGGCTGAATTTCAAGCAACCCCACTTTATAGGCTTATGTGCCAAAATGAACCATTAGACAAATGCTTGCCATTTTTAACGTTACATGAAAAACAAATTAAGCTGTTACAATAACACCCAATCTAAACAAATCAATATGAGTTATGGCTTCACTAAACTGTGCATTTTAGAACATTGGTCATAATGACAATTTGAGATAAAAATGACAAAATGTCAAGTCTGTCATAGCTTGATTTTTGTCCAAAAATGATCAGAATTAAGCAATATCACACTGAATGTTATTATAACTACAAGATTACTATTTTAATATATTTTAAAATGTAATTTACTCCTGTGATGGCAAATATAGCCTATTTTCAGCCGCCATTACTCTAGTGTCACATGATCCTTCAGAAATCATTCTAATCTGCTGATTTGCTGCTTGTAACATTTTTTATTATGGATGATTAAAACAGTTGTGCTGCTTAATATTTTTGTGGAAACCGTTATACATTTTTTTCATGATTCGTTGATGAGCAGAAAGATCAAAATAAACAGCATTTATTTGTTTTTGTTTTTGTTTAGCTTACAAATTCCTTTACTGTGTCCTTGCGAAATCACTGACCTCAAAAGTAGGCTATAGCCTACGTTTCAGACAAAATTTAATTTGTACATTTCTATTCGCTGTATATTTTTAAAATTGCGTAAAACTTTAAATAACTTTGGCTTAAAACATTATTATTAGTTGTAGCCTATTATTTATGCGGCAATCTGTAGCCTAATGTTTTATTCTCATTGGTCCTAATAATAATGACATTTAATAATAGTGTAGTGTACCTTATGTTGGTCTATTGTTTAATTCGTTGTAATGTTTTTTTTAGTGGGAACTTTAGCCTAATCTACTTCAAATCATGTCCGTGTTTATAAACTTGCGGAATAATGTACAATATTTAGTTAACGTAGCTATTAATTTCACGATACTTTGATTCATATATTTTCAAATTCAAATGTACATAAACGACTGCTCTTGCTGTTTGTGTAATGTTAATGACCTTTAAAGTTTGTTAATGAAAGTTACTATAGCCGCTGTAAGTAAACTCCTCCTCCCGCTGCTCCGCTGCAATGGTCTTACGTGTAGTCTGTGTTCCCGCTTTTGCAGCTGCTCAGGCTGCAGGGGGAGGGAGAACTTTTCATGGAACAGCCAGCCCAGGGAGTCAGTCACATTCCTGGCCGGGATTCAATGACTGAACCAGACACAAACAAACACTGAGAGAGAGAGAGAGAGAGAGAGAGAGACTTTCTCGGCCCCCTCATGCGGACTGATCACCCAGACCGACGCCGAGCGCCTCTGCAATGCCCTCATCTACGGCGGCACGTTCCCACCGCATGCCGACAAAGAGTTGTCGTGCTCCATCGAGCTGGAAAGAACGGAGAAGAGCTTTAAAGTTTATCACGAATGCTTCGGGAAGTGCAAGGGCCTGTTCGTGCCAGAGCTCTACACGAGCCCCAACGCGGCGTGCATACAGTGCTTGGACTGCAGGCTCATGTTCCCGACGCACAAGTTCGTGGTGCACAGTCATAAAAGGCTGGAGAACAGAACCTGTCACTGGGGCTTCGACTCGTCCAACTGGAGGGCTTATATTCTTTTGGATCAAGACTATAGTGAGAAAGAGGAGAGCAGCACGCTGCAGCAGCTCCTCAATGAGTTAAAGGGAAAATTTGACCTGGGGAACAAGCACAAGACATCTTACAAGGTGAGCTTAACTCTTAAAAATGCACGGAAAATATTACGATAAATCTAAATCTGGACCGTATTACTCCAGATAGTTCACTCCCAAATATTGATAATAAAAATGATCAATGGTGTGTGATGTGATCATTTCATGTGTTGTGTTGTGTTGTGTTGTGTTGTGTTGTGTGTATTTTACTTTATTGATTCTCATACACTTCTGTTGACCTTTCTCTTTTTGTCTCTAATCATACAACACCTATGACACCCTGTGCCACCTCAGAAAACTGTCCTATCGATGTAGCTTTGCTTCAAAACCCAGATTTTACATTGGATATGACGTAGTGCCTGTGCCAAAATTGTTTATTGTGCCAAATCAAGCAAAAACTGTTTTCATGTAAAACACATTTCTCTTCAGTTTCACTGTACAAAACACTACACAAGCCATACTTTTCCTCATTTCACCCAGTATTTATTTAGTCTGTCATTTTTTTCTTGTTACTTTACATAGTGTTGCCCGTTGTTTTTGAGCGTCACAACATATATATATATATATATATATATATTATTATTATTATTATTATGTAATAAATAATGTACTGCTATCTTTGAGCGTGTTTAAATGAAGGTGCAGCCAGCCAGTGTCCTGCCCCCAACCAACCCCCCTTGCGCATTTATTTTGTGCCTCTGGATGCACTCAGGGGCATCTGCATATGACAAATGGAGCCTCAATTATGTATTTTATGGGAGCCAGAGATAGATGGGGAGGCTTGGGGAAGCCAGTAGTGGAGTAGGAGGAGAGTGCTGTGTAGGACATTGTTTTGTGTGTATGTTTTGGGTGGGGGGCAGGTTGGGGTTGAGGTCACTCTCCAAAAAGCAGTTGGTGTAGGGTCAGCGCTGCCCTTGAGTCTCCCACTGTCTGATCAGGCTCCACGCCAGGGTCAGAGAGACAGCGAGCGGACAAAAGCATGGGAGTCTCGGGTTGGCTGCTCCTTCCACGCAGCAGCTGTTGAGTGTGATCGTGCTAATGGGTCTACACACATATATGTGGTACCATGGTGTCACTTCTGCAGGCTTGGGATGCATGGTGTGGCAAACGCAGTTTCATTACTGTGGGAAATGTGAGAGACATGGCACATTTCAGAAATGCAGCGTCATGTATATTTAACGATCACTTCTCTATGGGAAAAGTGTTGGCTGATATTTGTCACTGAGTGGCTAGTTTACACTTTGCTGTGCCTTGCGTCTGGTTAGGCTAAAGAAACTGCTTTTTTTTGTGCAGTTATTGTTAGATGATTAGTTTCGGCCTTTTATGCGTGTCCTATATTGTTTCAATTGTACAATAAGCACATTTCACCATGATGCTATGGTCTGTCCTAACAGTACAGTAGCCGTAATGTATCCAGAAGGGTGAATTTTGTGCGGTTTCTATGGTTCATTGTCAGAGGTGTCCCAGTTAGCAGCAAGCTGGTTGGGTCCGTGGGGAGCTGTGTATCGGCGGACCTGTATAAAAAAAAAACACATGGCGCTTTTCACCTAACCTCAGCTCAATTAAGAATTTTTTTTTCAATTTTTTTCTTTTCCCTTTATTTTTGTAATTAACCTATTTTGTAAGTAACTTTTCAGTTATGCTAAGAATATTTGCTTTATGGTGTCTTGCTTTTTATTGCTGCTTCCAAATATTACTTTGATGAGAGGCTGGTCACCATGGTTACACAGAGTTTGCTTTATTTTTTAATATCTGAAATATATCAGTGCTGAATATATTTAAAATCCAGTCTAGGCTGGCTGACATAATGGGGTAGATCGCAGGGAGAGGGTGGCGAGTTCTCATTAAGAATCTGTCACCCCTGTCCGCCAGGGCCTTGACATGTGACCTCTCTCCAAAGC